CATTCTTCATTAGGCTTAATCTGTGACTATAGGCAGCTGTCTTGCCAGACAGTTTCAAAAATCTTGTGTAAGGGCTTTGTTGGCTGGGTCTGGGTCATGTGCTCACCCATGGAAAAATCAGTGAGGCCACGGGTTGGGCTGCTGACAGTTTTGGGGCTCACCTGCCTATCTAATACCTAGTTCCAACTTCTTAATTGATAACAGAACCTTGAGTTTGTTAGGGATGTAGCGAGCCCAACATCATGCAATTGATCATCATTAGTTTAAGCTAAGTATTACAATCTCGTTCTGTGTTTTTTCTTTTTTCTTTTTGTCACTGGAGATATTCTTAAAACCTACTTCATCCCAATGAGATTCCTGTATTGTACGAGTTTCTAAAAACCTATTGGCTCTCTTGATGAAAGGGATTGGACTGGATAGCATTTTCCTTTTGCTTTTCTTCTTGCCCCTAGAATAGATATAATGCTTTGAGCCATAGTAGCCAACTAGTGACCATGAATTGCAATGTATATGGAAATGTCAGGGGAATTGCGAAGACTATAGGTTATTTTTGAGCCCCTATAACTAATGTGAGCAACTACCTACCTCCAGGATTCTCATTATGTGAGAAAAACAAACTCTATTTGCTTACACTACTATTGAACAATTTTGGTTTCTTGCAGTCAAATGCCTTTTTTTTTTTAATGTTTTATTTATTTCTGAGAGAGAGAGAGGCAGCATGAGCAGGGGAGGGTCAGAGAGAGAGGGAGACAAAGAATCTGAAGCAGGCTCCAGGCTCTGAGCTAGCTGTCAGCACAGAGCCTGACGCGGGGCTGGAACCCACAAACCGTGAGATCATGACCTGAGCTGAAGTCGGGTGCTTAACTGACTAAGCCACCCAGGTGCCCCATCAAATGCCTTTCCAAGTGTTATGCAGTACTTCTAGTCAAATACTGTGGCCATGGAGGTAAGGTCAAGCAAGAAATTGATAGCAACTATTCAGAACACATATACAATAGGATGGGACCTATTTACCCCAAAGGAGAGAGCGGTTATGTCATAGAAATAGTCACTGTGGCAATCACTGCAAATGTGGCAGAAGCCCCAATCTGAATTTGCTACAAGGATAGTTGGAAGAATGACTGCCTTAACTCAACCATAGGATCTGAACAAGGACAGAAGAAATGGGGCTGGAGAGAAAAGGGAGTTTATGAGAAGCATGCACAAGGGAAAATCAAAGGGACTTAATACATTGTAGGTGTCTGGTGGGTTAGCATTAAAGAATACATGTAAGTAGAGGACAGTGATGACTAAAAGCTATAAACATTTTTGTCAGCAGTGATAGATACAAAGTATCTAATTTAAGGAATGTTAAACAATCTGCCATCTCTCTCTCTTTCATTGTTATCTGTCATCTAGCTAGCTAGATATCAAGTTAATTATCCCTCCTCTGAATCTCACTTTTAACAAGATAGAAGTAGTTCACAAAGAAGTGTACATTATTGCAAGATAAAGTAACTGCAAGATAAATAAAATTTGAAGCAAAGGGGAAGTGGACACAGAACAATATAAGGAACTATGTACAAAATGTGCCTGACATGAGGTTCTCTACATATGCTTGGGTAGCAGTAGGAAGAGTTGAATAAGGTATGGTGAGGAAGAACTCCTGAATAATGACTTATATATTCTATCAACTAGCTAGGATAAGAAATCTTATGATCGACATAAAGTCCATGTAATCAAAGCACACTAGATACCTAGAAGAAGTGCCACGATTCCTTATATGTAACCAGAGAGAGGGGTTTCTCCCAGGCCTCCCCAGAAAGGCCTTCATGCCAATATACTGACTGTAAATCTGGGGACAGATGTTATAGAAGTGTTTATTAGAATACTCCTCAGTGTGGGATGATGGCACAATATCAAGCACAGTTCCATATAAGCTGACCTTTGGGTTTGGAGTCAGATAGACCAACAGTTCTGTGCTATTCTGTAAGGGTCAAGTGTGTCTGAGAAGCTATGTTCAGTCCTGGGACACATTTTATAGAAGAAAATGATCATTTACACAGGACCCTGTGCATACTATATTCTTTAGAGGTGTGCTTGCTGAATTAATAAGTATTTGAATGAATGCTTGTCAGGAAAGTTTATATTTCACTGGTGTAAGAGAAGCTGTTCTTTTTCTTTTTTTCCTCCCTCCCCCATGCCATTGTATGTCAGTTGTCTATCTTTAGGTGAAACCGTGAGTTCCACGTGAGCAGGAATTTTGTCTTGTTTGTAGCCCCAATCAGGTAGAGCATCTGGCATAGAAAGTCTGATAATAGTTTATTGAAGAAATAAATGACTGATACTTACAGAGCTGTGTCTGGGAGAGAAACTGGATTGATCTATAATTTTATCTCAGTATACTTTTATCTCAGGCTAAGGCAGAGACATAAAATAATCCTAGAGTATTGAGGCAAGATATTTCTCAGGGGAAAACCACCAGGAAGAAATGTTTAAAGGGCATTTGTGTTTATTTTTGTGGCATATAGAACTCCCTTCTCTCTGGTGCAGCAGATAGGGCTCAGCAGCCTATATTCCCTCCCAGCCTTTCATACTATCATTAAGGCAGCTGCACTGTTGAACTTCTTGTGATGCTGTCTGCTTGTGTACTGGGGTAGAGGATGTTTATTTGGTGCTGGTGTTAGAAGGGAAGGCACACATCCAATTTCCTTGTCACCTTTGATTACTGATCCTTCAGGGGGAAGATTTTATGAAAAGTAAGAAAAAATTGCATTTTCCATATCCTTCAATTTCCAAATCCTTCAATATATTCTCCATCTTTAGAGAAAGCACATACTTGTGTTTGAAAGCCAAGGCTCTGAACTGTAGGATCGGAGTTCAAATTTTGGCTTCACCCCTTTTATGTATCGTGCAGCACTGGATCAACTACATAACTACTTGTGCCCCAGTTTTTTCATCATTGAAGGAGAAATATTAATGATAATGGTAATGCCTATGTCAGAGAGGTGTTTGAAGGATTAAATAAGTTAATTCACATTAAGCAGTTTGGAGTAACTGTCACATAGTACTCAAGAGATATTAGCTGATATTATTATTGTTCACTGATGCTTTCTTGTTGATGGTTTTTGTCATGTTTCATATGAAAATATTTATAGTTAAAAATAAAATTGAGGTGCCTGGGTAGCTCAGTTGGTTAAGCGGCTGAATTTGGCTCAGGTCATGATCTCATAGTTCGTGGGTTCAAGCTGCTCATTGGGCTCTGTGCTGACAGCTGGGATCCTGGAGGCTGCTTTGGATTGTGTATCTCCCTCTTTCTCTGGTACCCTCTCCACTCCTGCTATGTCTCTCTGTCTCTCTATCTCTCTCTCAAAAGTAAATAAACATTAAAAAAATCTTTAAAAAAATCAAATCAAAATATCATCACATATCTAGTATGCTCAAAATATTATTAGACTATATAGGGAATATTAACATTGCCCTTTAAGACTTTATGATCTACTTGCTGAGGCAAAGTACAGAACTCACAAGAAATAGGAACATGTACAAATAGGAGTAGGGACATGTACAACAATGCAAATAATACCACATGATGGTAACTTACCATTTGGCAAATCGTATACATATTTGAATGAATTTGTGAAAAAAGTTGGTAACATTTTTTATTTTGATATTTCTTTATGATATATCCTGGGAGAGAGGGCAACTTAAAAGAAAATGCAAATGCGGGGCGCCAGGGTAACTTAACTGGTTAAGCCCCTCACTTTGGCTCAGTCCATGATCTCATGGTTCGTGAGTTCGAGCCCCACATAGAGCTCTCTGCTGTCAGCACAGAACCTGCTTCAGATCTTCTCCCTGCCTCTTCCCCTTCCCTGCTTGCACTCTCTACCTCTGTCTCTCTCAAAGTAAATAAATAAACTTAAAAAAAAAAGAAAATACAAATGTGAAAAGCAGAACAGGCAGAGATTAGGGTAGTCCTAAAGTCTCCAAAGTTATGAAAAATTACAGATGATGCGGGCCATTAATAAATAAGTAAAACACAAAGCAGGCTTCCAGCATTTGTGAAGAATTACTCTTGGAAACAGATAGGATGAAAATGTGGTATGAGTTTATGAGGAGTTTATGTATGTATCTGATCCTGGGCCAGGAACAGATTCCAAGCATATCCACTGAGTTGGTTGCACATGTGAAAGTCCTGGAAGACTCCGCCATAATTCTATTTCCCCAAGTTGCTCAGCCTCTGACTGAAATGTTCTTGGAAACATAAATATGCAGAACACTGAAGAAATCAGAACGGCGTATATGATTGCTTTTCTACAGAGAGATGGTTTAATCTTTGTAGCAAATGGGGTCAGGATTCCTTAAGATTTGTTCACCATATTCTGATTAAAATTTTAATAATATTGAGAATAATTTACCTCTCCACTAAAGCAATTTAATAGCTCCCAACTTACACAAAATTACAGTTTGTTTTATTCACAAAGGAAACAGAAAGAACATGGAAAGTACGACGCATTAAGAGAGTTAAACTGGAAAAGCCTAACCACAAAATTCCAAGTATTTTAATAGATATTCTTGGTTTTCCCTGGGTTTTAGGGAAAAATTTGCTACTTTTGCAATTGAAATCACATTGGTTTGTAAAGGCTAGTCTAGTTAGAATCAGGGGTTCACGAAATCTTTAGGTGAGAGGACACTTTTGAAATTCCACTACTCGGAAATCTTTCCTACTGATCGTTGTTAACACAATTTCCTAGCTGAGTCCTTCCAGTGATAAGTACCTTGTTAGTGCACAAGTCAGTCCATTCTATTGTTGAAAACATCTGATGGCAAAACAAGGTTCTTCTTTATATAATTCAAACACCATTCACCTTTTCAGCCTCTGAAAATTTGCAAGATTATGTTTCCATTAAAACCCAAATTATGCTGACTTTGAGTCCCTATGGGCCCTTGTAAGAAATTGAGTTTATTTTTTAGAACGCTTCTCAGGTTTTTTTTTCTTTTTTTCTTTTTCATTCCTCCAGGATGTTTCACATGTGACCTCAGCTCCAGCCCAGTTCTTCACTCTGCTTCTATTATCAGTCAGCCATGCTACTGGCTCGAACCCAGATGCTCCTCATAAGGTGGACATTTCTCTGCTGGACACAGCTGGCTGTTACTGGTGGTCACCAGTTTGGAGCTACAATTCTTCCTTGGGTTTTCCATACCTGGTGGAGAACAAAATTTTCCTGTGATTCTCTGTAGCACCAGGTGTAACTTTCATCAAGATTTATCAAAGACTTGGGATTATTAGCTATATGTTTGCCCTTGAAGAAGGTGAACCACGGAGCTCTCACAAAGCACACTCTATATAGCCCCTGGTTTTCTTCTTGGGGCAAGCACAGTTCACGGCTCTAGTGAACTTGCGGCCTAAGACTCACTAGGTCAAGGCAGAGAAAGACATTTACCCTCACACCAAGCTCATGTCTACATAATTCTATCCCCAAACCTACTTTTTTTCTAGGTAATTATTCTCTGAGATGCAAGAGTAATTATGTTAATATGTAACGACCCAATGTCAGTAATTTCCTGAAGTGTGGGTTTTTCAGTTTCAGGAAATGTTACGTAAAGGCCCTTCTATCAGGATGGGTTCTTGCAGGAACTAACAGAACACAACTGTGGTTACCTTCAACAGAAAAGAAAGTTGTTGGAAGGAGGGTAGGTGGCTCCCAGATTCAGGTTTAGGGGACAGACAGTGACCTGCAGTGGTTAAGTCCAATTGCAGCTGGGATCTGGCTAAGAAGGTGCCCCTGGCACAGCCACCTCTGGACACTTGTGTAGGCCGTCACTGCCAGACTCTCTATTCCTTTTACCTTTAGACCTGAAATTAACATTGTGTAATAGAAACTTCCACAACAATAAAAGTGTATCTTTACTGTCAACAAGTAGCCACTAGCCACATATGGCTATTGAGCATTTGAAATGTACCTGAAGAACTGAATATTTACTCTGATTTAATTTTAATTAAAATTAATTTTAATTAAAATGCATTTGAGGAACCTGGGTGGCTCAGTCAGTTAAGTGCCCGACTTCGGGTCAGATCATGATCTTGAGGTTTGTAAGTTCAAGCCCCGCATCAGGCTCTGTGCTGACAGCTCAGAGCCTGGCGTCTGCTTCAGATTCTGTGTCTCCTCTCTCTACCCTTCCCCTGATCATGCTCTGTCTCTCACTCTCTCTCAAAAATAAATAAACATTAAAAAAAATTTTTTTAATGAATTTAAGGAGCACCTGTGTAGCTCGATAGGTTAAACGTCTGACTCTTGATTTCAGCTCAGGTCATGATCTCACGTTTTGTGAGTTCGAGCTCCAAATTGGGGTCTAGGCTGATAGTGCAGAGCCTCCTTGGGATTCTCTCTCTCCTTCTCTCTGTCTCCCCCTGCCCCTCCTCCCCTCAAATAAATACACATTTAAAAATATAGAATAAAATGAATTTAAATAGCCACATGTGACTATTAGTTACCATATTGGATTGCACAGCTCTAATCTATCTGAGCCTATTATTTTGGAATTGTCAGTCAAATTTTCCCAGGAACCAATTTTCCAGGTGTAAAAAGTGCCACTCATATTTCTATCCCCTGGTTTCTAGATCCTTATATTTAGCCTATGTAGAAATGACACAATATAGAACAGTATGGAGTGCCGTCTCCAAAAGCATTGTCCATCAACTACCATACTAGAATGGCTTCAATGGATCCTTCCATCATTTGTCAAGGCCAGGAACACCTAGTGATGGGGTAATGATAAGAGTAGTGGATTGATTCAAGTCCATAGGGTCTCAGTTACGTATTATGACTCTAAAGCCAGGATTTCTAGATTAGAATTCTGGATCCTCCATTTACCAGCTCAGTGACCTTAAGTAAGTTATTTAATTAAGATATTTGTGCCTCAGTTTCCTTGTGAATCTGGTGAGAGCACCTAACTCTAACGGTAGATAGATAAATTCGTCGAAAGCACTGGTGAGCACCTGGTACATTGTAAGCTGTCAATGACTATTGGCTATTATTGTCATCGATGCTACAGAAACACAAATGATTTGCAATAAAAGATCCAGTGGATACTACTAGTCCATTTTCCAATGAAAGTATGAATGGGTATGTCTACCAAAGTACTATGAGTCAGAACATAACCCCAAAAAGGTAAAGATGCCAAAAGACTTTGTGAACTCTGGTGGCCTTACTCCTAGGAGGCAATACTTAACCCCTCAGATAGTTGAGGATCGAGACTGCATTGTAAAATATTTCCTTCTAAAAACAAGCAGCAAAATATTTAATGATGAAACTTTTACTCTGTATGTTGAAAGATTAAAAAAAATTAGTCTGCAGATTTAGGGTAGAGAACGTGGAAACACACACAATGAAAGAAACAATGCCAGTGAGACTAATCTGTGCTGACTCCGAGAAACACATTAGTGGCTTCAGGAATTATTCCTCTCATTATATTGAGGGTTTTTATTTTTATAAAAACAGAAACCAAAAATGCAGAAAAGAACTCCAGCACTCAGATTAATACATGGAGCATTGCAATGGTGAAAGAAACTATGCTTGCCTTGTGTTTAGACATTTATTTCAGTCTTGAACTCTGCTTAGACCTCACTGTGGGCCTTCAACAACTTGCATTTGGCAGCACAGAATTTTGTCTCAGGCAAGCTTTTTCTTTTGCCTTTGCAAAAAGGAAGAAAGAGAAAAAAATATTCAATAGTCCTAATCTCTCAAATTTCCTTTCTTTCTAAAAAAGACTTCAAAAAAATAGAAGGGATCTTGCTTTACTTTTGTGTGTGTCTAGAAGGCATTGTATTATCTATCCAGCACAATTTTCCATCTGGTTTTTAAAAAAATTATTTTATTTTAGTTTTTTTTTTACCATGTATGTTACAGGCAGCAAATGAAAGAGTGATACACTATGACTTATTCTGCAGAAAAAAAACCAACCTGGAGATTCTACTTCTTCATATGAGATCAATGAAATGCCCCCATATGCATGTGTATATAAATTTTGCAAGGCTTTTACACATGTGTTTCTCAAATGCCACTAGCTCATAGAGAATAACAAATACCTGACTCTTCTAGAAACCAAATCAATAAGACATGGAATCTTCATCAGTCGAGAGCCAAGTACTTTGAAGTATTCATACATAGCAGCTGGAAGAAACATACCATTGCTACACTTAAACCTAAACACGTGTACCGCATGATATTACTACTAAATTAGATATATTAAGGTTCACAATTTCCTGGATGCAACTGTATGTATTTCTGCAATTTCTAGGGTGATAGAAAGTAAAAAAAAGGAGGATATGTAACTAATGCTTTTGTTGTTGTTTTTCTGTAATTGATTTTCTAAAAGAACATGACTGTATATTTTAAAATAGGATGTATGTTTTGAGTTGACTTTATGATAGTGGAGATGAGTTTTCCTCAGTACACGTATCTCATGGTTCTATGAATAATAGCACACATTGATGAGACAGCTGGCCAAGGTGAGAAGGATTTCTATTCATGTAAAGGGAACATGGCCATGTGACAATGAGCTTATGAAAAGTTCACACCATCCTCATGTTATGCCCAACCATATGAATAAATCTGAATGTGGAATAATTACACTTACTTGTGTCTTTCATGATCCTCTTTTGAGATGAGAAAAATCCAGAAAAACCTAATTTTATACACAGAATTTTTTACTTTGAAATAGTGACTTCTAGAGCCAATAAAGAATGCTTAATGGGATCAATTTATCCTTCTCCAGGAGGGCAAAGAGTAAAGGGAGTTAGTGGAAAAAAAACTAAGAAGATTTCGGTTATCTATCTTCTTCCACTGAGCAGTGTTGAAGTCCCTTCCCATCCTGCTTTGTGTTAAAGACATTGGGTTTCTTATGTCATTAGGGTACCTTTAAGAGATGCTGGGCAATGCAGTAAGACCATAGCAACTGATGGCTCTTTCCTAGATTTCTCTAGACATAAATCCTGAACATAAAACTCCCAAAAAAAGGAATCCCCTGTGAATCTGCTTCTTCAATTTACCTACAAATCTCTTCTTCCCTCCCCTGTCCCATTTCTCACAAATACTACATTACTAGAACAGTCCCTTGTTACTAAGGAAAGGATTGGGATATAATTCAAATGAATTAACATTCTTTGATCAATGAGAAAGAAAATCTCAGAGATTAATGAAGACCTTGGGGGCCATTTTCTCTTGTTTTGGAAATAAATTAATAAGGATACATTATCAAGGAGAATTATATAAGCATATATTCTATTAAAACACAAGGGACCTGATACAAATCCAACCAAAAGCACATCTTCTAAGTGTACAGCAAGCTTGGGGGCTGGAGGACAAGTCTCAATCACTTTCCAAAGCACACAATCAGAGGCTCTTTATAAGATATATTTATGCAATGCTTTAACAATTATTTGGAGAGCAAAAGTTTTAGCTGGTGAGGTGGCTATTTCCTTTATAAAACCACAAAGAGATTGTTTTGCTTGAATGTCCAATTGACTAATTTCTCTTCTTTTTTATAACTCAAGTTTTCATATACAAGTGTAAACAAATAAAAATACAGGCCACACAATCTGGTATATTATTGATGTCCCACTTGAATGTGATTAATTTTGGCAATCATGTTGTAATCTAATCACACTGATGTCTTAACCTAGAGGTTTTTGTTTGTTAGTTTGTTTTCAAACATGGACCTTTAATATCAGGTTTAGCCATTACTTATTCTTGAATAGGAACAAAATACAAGTAGTCCTTCAAAACACAGTTCTGACCTACCCTAGGAATATCCTTGTACTCCAAAGAAAAGTATGGTCAAAATATTAAATCCATTCTTTACAAGGTCACTTGGGGTTTATGTTCTCTCTATCTTTTTCTCCCATGAAAATCTCTGATGCCTGATGCCTCATGCTGAGGACCAGTGGATCAAAGTTGCAGTTCAAGCCCTGAAAGAATTTTTATTAAAATGGACAACAGATGTGAACAATGAAAAGAAATAGATCAAAGATGTGAACTCCATTCGTGAGCCTATTTGCAAACACAAAGCATGTAGGTTTTTGTTATTTTTAACTTTCATCAATGCAACCTTTTGAGTAGAGAAGGAAATAGTACCAAGAAAATAAAATAAAGAAGGGAGTGGACAGTTATAGAATAGAAAGAGTTGTATCTTTGGAATGGAATGGGATTTAAAAAAAAGCAATTCCACACACATTTTTGAGCACCTTATTTATGTAGGCCCTGGTGGGGACGCTGAAAGTACAGATAAAACAACACACCATGATCACCACTTTGGGAAACAGAGTAAAGAAAGAATTTGGAAAAATCTAAATCACAAAATTAATATAAGAGAAATAAGAGAATTTGAGAGGATACAAAGTCAAATTAGCTATTATATATGTTGATGCAACCTACTGATATCCTTTCCAAAATATTTCAATTGTTTTTATAATTAAAGAAGGATCTGAGCCATGGTTAGCTGTTACATAAGAATTTAAATAATTTGGAAACAACACAAGCAATTGTTGGCTCTTAGGATTTACTCTACCCTTGTGCTGGAGAGTCTGAAACAGTTCTGCAGAAGTAGCGGAGGCCACAGACTGAATTTGGAGCATATGATTTTCAGTACTTTGCTGGATTGCTGCCTATGGTTAGTCATTTCCTACAACTTTCAACTTCACCACACTTCTCATTTCTTACTGAGTGATTAACATTCACATCACAACCCACAATGCCTTTCATTTGCTATTTGGCATTCCCACCCCCAAGTAAATACTCACAAATTAGCACTGCTTAGTCCAGCTTTCACAATTCTTTGGGTGCAATTTTAAGGCTTCTTTTGAAAAGACGGAGTGGTTGTTGAATACTTGCTTATAAAGCTTTCATTTTTCTAATGAAGTGTGAAGGTCAATGACAACTGTCAACTAAGTATCAGTAGAGTAACAAAGAATGAATAAGGTAACTGTCCCTAATTGTTTTCTGATGGTTATTAAGCAGATATCAAG